TTCAGTCTAGTTTTATCAACATTACAATTACTGTATAGTGGCATACATATTTGTGGACTGCAATGAGATGTGGTGTTATTATGCTAATGCATCATTACTAGGAATTTAACACTTCTCTGTTAGCAACTTTGGACTCATAATCATTGTGATGAATGTTCATTCTGCCTCATGCTTTGTTTTCGCATATGAGATGTTTCCATGGTTACATAACAAAACACATAAATCTATTTGGTATAAAAATTGAATATAAAAGCTTAAACCATTATAAAAAAAAATGTAAAATGACATGCTAATGAAATAAAAAAAATGTTATACTGTTGTTAATTAATTTGTACCTACTATATTTAGCGGTTATAAAGGACAACCAAAAGTATTTGGTATTAAATATATAAGATCTCTCTGGAAAAAAATAGCGAATTCGGCAGGAGATAACCTAGCACAACCAAGGTTATTATCTTCTCTAAATATGCTAATTTTACCCAGAGTGGTTTTATATCCGCTACCAAATACCTGAGTCTACCACTTTATAATCTTATCATAATATGCTCACACAAGAAATACACAACAAATTAGCACTGTTAATATCACATTGTGATATGTAAATTTTCCCAACATCTTTTATCATAAGAGGTGATGAAGAGTAACACCTCATAATGTGATAATTCTGAAATCATAATACCCATATTTTCACTATATTGCATTACATAATGATTTCTATATATATTTGTGTATAAGCTCTGATGGGCAAGACATATGACAAAACCAACAATTCTAGAGTATATTTTAACAAACTAGGGGTAATACTGACTATACACTATTAAAACAAAATAAGTAAAAATCCATTTTTTCTAGTTCTGATTCTTCATACCTTCAATTCTTTATTTGTACCAAAAATTTAGTCATTTTGGATAAAATGTTATTTTTGATTTCTTCTTTAAAATGGCTAACCCAATTGCTTTGATATATTTTGATGTAAGTACAATGTACCTTGGGTTAGACAGATTTATTTCTCAATGATAACTTCAATTCTCTGATTTCAGTAAATATTTGATGTCATTTTGTTTCCACATTTTTCACTTTCTGTCCTAATTGCATAAATATTAGGTTCTGTATTTACTCTATTAGAAGTGCATTTAAAACAGATATTTCATTTTACTTGTTTCCTAAATCATTAAAATAAATCAAAAACAATATATATCTTTGATATCACTATCAGATTTGTTCATTTTATGCGATATCATCAATTTCATATTTTTTGTTATTATAAATTTTGGTAACAAATCTTTTGTTAAAAGCTATTGAAGTGACAGACCATATTATTTTATTCAAAACTTTTACTCTTTAAATAAGTGATTTTCAGTTTACTGTGAGATGCATATCTGCATGAAAATCAAACGATTTGATTTTGAATTTTTTTTCCAATGCTCAATGCTGAACTTTGACCTTCATCAAATGGGTATAGCACATTAACAAGTATGAAAATACTCCTAAAATCCCTCATGATGTTTTTGACGTAACCGAGACGCTATGACCTTTAACACAAAATCTCGTGGTAAATGAAAAATGGTCAATTTAGTCGTGTTTTTCAAGTCTGCTATTCCTGGTTTTATAGAAAAGGAAAAAAAAAGGTATTTCTTTTTTTCAATTTTGTGAGAACCACAAGTAACTAATAATGTCATTTCCTACAACAACATGAAAATGTCCTTTGAGGCTTCTCTGTTTTCAGTTCAATCAGTTCTATTAGTTGCATATCGTGTCTCAATTTTAAGACTGCAATTACTGTACAAAGATTTTAACACAATTATTCACTCTGTCAGTTACAACCACTCTACACGGTATATCATCAGTTAGTGCTATACCATATGGTCCATTCAGTTCATCAGTGTCCTTATCAATACGGCAGATAAAGTGACCACTTCTATCAAACTTTTGTACCTTATTATTACAATCAACCACATATACATACATGTATCCCTCATTATCAATAGCTATACCACGTGGCCTGTATATCTGACCTTCATCTTGACCTGGACAATTGAATGAATACATGTACTCATCATCTGTATTGAAGACTTGTATGCGGTCATTGTCATAATCACCTACAAATAGCAACCCTTGATTGTCCACAGCCATGTAGTGTGGTCCCTTAAATTGTCTTGCTTCACTTCCATAACCTCCAAATGATTTGATATAATCTCCATCTTTTGTGTATTTCTTATACAGTGACCATCTTTATTTGTCTTATCACCAATATTCAAATCCCAGTCAGATACATACACCATGCCATCAGCAGGTCGAACAACAATGCACATGGGATGCTTCATATTATCTCTAAACCGTTTGATCACATGACCATTCATTCACTGATTACAACTTGTTTATTAGCAAAATCTGTCATGTATAATTTATCATTAAATATGCACACACTCTGTGGAATACATTTTTCAATTGTTATAATATTTTTATAATTTCCATCCTTGTCTGTTATCTGTAGTCTTTCATTACCTCTGTCTGCTGTAACTATGTCACCATTACTATGTATTGTAACATCGCAGGGATTTGAATAACTCCCTGCTGCACTGCCCTCTCTACCAAATAGTCTTCACCAATCCTTTAATGACATTGAACTGTGCAGGTGTTCCTGGTATTGGTTGATTTTCTATTGTCACTGACACTTTATATTTTCCATCTATTTTTCCATGTACCATCACTGTGTGTGTTCCATCATTGTTATCCTGTACTTTGATATCGTCACTTGATCCATCAGGTTTTGTTACACTAGCCTTAACCACCTGGCGTGGAATGACTTGTTTTTCTTGATTATCTCTGGTTGTTACTATTAAAGTAGCAGTGTCACCTTTGATCAGTTGTTTTGGAATATTATCAACACTACAGTTTTGTTGATGTACTTCTGTTACCAGCATTCCTACAACGTCTTTCCCTGGATGAGGTCTAAACTCTATTGCTTCAGGATCAATTTGGGGTTTAGTTTCCATGGCGATCAACCCATCAATTCGTTGTTGATAAACCTTTTTGGCACTTAAGATCTGTCCAGGATTCCCATGATGCATCAGTGATTCCAAGTAGCTGCAAGTGCTGACTATGTTTCCATGTTTCATCTCCAGATCATCAACTTTGATTTCCATATTCTTTACTCTAGCTGTGTATTCTGTCTTCAACTCATCCACCAATCTCCTCTGTTTTTGCTGAACTGCTTCCATCTTGTCGTCTCAGATCTTCCAAGATTTCATTTGTTTTCTTGTTTATCTTTGCTTCTTCTTCTTCACAGCAAGACTTCAGTTTTTTACAGGCTGCCTTGGCTGATATTTTACTTGTCTCTGCTTCATCTGCTTTTACTTTTAACTTCCCGACGTTCACCTTCAATTCTTTGGTGTACTCATCTGCCACCTCTTTAATATATCTGTGTTGGTGTACTTTATGATCTATGATTGTACACTCCATACATATAGGTATCTGACACGTGTCACAGTAGTATTTCAACTGATTATCTGTGTGGACATCACAATATTGTATCGGCTGTACAGCAAATGGCTTCTTTTCTTTGGCCTCTTGATAGTCTTCAAATGATAAAACTTGATGAGATTTTGCCACCCTGGATTTTTTATGTGCTTTGGAACAAAATGTACAGGAATACTGTTGACATTCAAGGCAGATGAAGGTGACTTCATTTTCTTCACAAAATTCACACTGTCTAGGGGTACTAGATTCCAGTTTCTCAGGTACTTTGTCTAGAAGTGAGCTCATGAAAAAATTAGACTGCAGATCATTGACTGGAACCTTTACTGACTTGTTACAGGTTGGACACATCAGGATCTGGGGTGTTTGTTTCTCAGCTTGCTGCACTAGACATTTCTTACAAAACGTATGATGACATGGTAGTATCTTTGGATCTGAATATCGTTCTAGACATATAACACAACACAGAAAGTCTTCATTAATCTCTGCTAAGACAGCACTGGCATCTACTACAGCCATTTTTAGATAATAGTTAGTCTGCAATGAATAAATTAACATAAAATTGAATAAATCTGATGTTATAATCCTTATATAAACAAGATTAAAATAAACTTTTGTAATTTTCTTCTGATATATTCCATATTACCGTAAAAGTCCTGATATAAACCACGGTTTATATTACTATGTATCAATTTAAAAATTGGGTCAAAAGCTCAAGTTTGGTGTGCGGTTTATATTACACACATATTGCGATCACTAAATGGACGTGGTCATTTTCCCCCACAACACATGCACAAAACAAACAATACATCGTGTAATCTTTTGAATCGGTGTCACGGAAGAGTGAAATGCCTTAATTTGGTTCTAAAATAAGTGTCACAAAATGTTGAAAAATTACAGTCAATCCAAAAAACACAGGATAAAAAAAATACTCAGTATATTTAATGTAATATGCATTTATTTTTTAATTTCGTTGGTAACAGGAAGTATATTCTAAAAGAAGTTTCAAATAAAAACATGAATGCATTGCTTAGTAGCAAATGATCACAGTACAGTAGCGCAATCCGGTCATGCTGCATTTCACAAGTAAATAATTTACTTGTTTTCGAAGTGTTAAAATTGTTGATTATTACTCAGTAGTGATTGTAATTAACTTATGTTGTTATGAATTGCCAGTAAAATTTAACTTAGTTTCACTGTAAGCAAATGATTTTGCTCACATGTAAATGCTCGATGTGATACGATATCCTCTTTTTTTTGATGCACACAAGACCTGGAACTGTGTTTATTGACAGGATAGGTTAAGTCGCTAATTAACCAATCAAAATGCTGGATGGTGCCAACGTGTTGGAATTATACCATAGCTCATTTAATAATGTTAATAACAGTTCAGCAACTTCATGGTCAATGCAACACAGAAGAAATTTTGGCTTTTGGCTTTGATGTCGATTTTCGGTGAGAATTTTTTTAATGATCTCACAATGAGTGTGGTGCTTTAATGATCTCATTGATTTACATATCTAATTTGTTTACTGCACAATGAGTGTGGTGATTTAATGATCTTATTGACTTACATATGTCATTTGTACACTGCACAATGAGTGTGGTGCTTTAATGATCTCATTGACTTGCATATCTCATTTGTGCACTGCACAATTAGTGTGGTGCTTTAATGATCTCATTGATTTACATATCTCATTTGTACACTGCACAATGAGTGTGGTACTTTAATGATTTCATTGACTTATATATCTCATTTGTACACTGCACAATGAGTGTGGTGCTTTAATGATCTCATTGACTTACATATCTCATTGTACACTGCACAATGAGTGTGGTGACTTTAATGATCTCATTGTCTTACATATCTCATTAGTACACTGCACAATGAGTGTGGTACTTTAATGATCTCATTGACTTACATATCTCATTAGTACACTG